TTGTGGAAGGTCAAGGTGCTCCTTACCATATCTAGGCTGAGCAAGGAAGGTATTCATCCAAAGAGAACAGGATTCCCAAAAGCCAGTACATGCAGTAGTGATAAATTCTGGTGTCACTGCCAGTGACTCCCTAGTCTTCTCCAGCCAAACAATTTTTTAAAAGAAAGAAATTTACCTTCTTGTTTTTGTTTATGTTTAACCCAATATATTTTATTTCCTTTCATACTATTGTAAATGAGATTCCATACATGATCTCTTTCTAAGGTGGCTTTGCTGTTGGTATATAGAAAGGCTGTTGACATTTGTAAGCTGATTCTTTGCTTGTCATGCTGCTAAAATTGTTGACTCTACTACATGTCTTCTGGTACAATGCAGCCATCTGTTAAGTATAATACTATGGCATTTGAAAATGGAGATGCTTGGAATTCATCTGTTCATACGCGTGTGATTATAATTTCATTCCCTTTCTCTATCACTCACTGTAAGAAATCCAACATGACATTGTAAAGGAATAGGCAAAGTGGGCACCCTGTCTTCTTCAAGGTTTTAGTCAGTTTCCTTGCCAGTTTTCTACATGTAGAATAGTTTTGGCAGTATGTTTCTTGGAGATAGCTTTTAATATTTTGAAGTATATTTCCTCCATTTCTACTCTCCCTGGGAATTTTTTCTTGAAAGTATGATATATTTTATCACTGGATTTTTCTTCCTCTGTTGAATTAATCATGTGCATTCTTGCCTTAATTACATTGTATGATTTATTATATTTATAGAATTATGTGTTTTAAACCAAGCCTGTCTTCCTGGAATAAATCCATCATAACCATTGTGGACAATCCACTTGATATGGGTGTATATTCACTTTCTAGTATTTTATTAAGGATTTTTACCACTATGATAACCAGTTACGTTTTTCCATATGTGCAAGAATGTTCATATGCATACATGAATGCATGCCTCTTATTTTGTGTGTGTGTGTGTGTGTGTGTGTGTGTGTGTACGTGTGCATGTTCTTTGATGGGGATTAAAGTAGCACTGGCTGTATATAACAGATTTGGAGGTGATTCTTTATATTCTATGTTTTTTTTTTGTATTATTGCTAATAAACATTCACATCCACATGGGCTAGGGGGATGGTTCAGTTGAGAAAAGTGCTTGTCTCCCAAGTATGACTGGAGTTTAATTATTTATTTTATTTTTAAAATAATCTTAGTTTATATTCCAATCACAGTTCCTTCTCCCTCCCATCCTTCCATTTGCCCCATCTTCTCTCCACCCCTATCCACTTTTCAGAGAGGGTGAGGCCATACATAGGGAGTCAACAAAGTCTGTCATATCACTTGAGGCAGGATCAAGGCCCTCTTCCCTATACTTGGTTGAGCAAGCTAACCATTCATAGGGAATGCGCTTCAAGGAGCCAGGTCATGCATGAGGATAAATACTGGTTCCATTTCTAGTGGCCCCACAAATTGCTCAAGCCACACAACTGTCACCCACATTCATAGGGCCTAGTTTGGTCTTATGCAGGTTCCTCAGCTGTAAGTATAGAGTCAGGAAGCTCCTACATGCTCAGGTCAGCTGTATCTGTGGGGTTCCTCATCATAGTCTTGGCCCATTTGCTCATGATATCACTTCTCCATCTCTATGTCTGAACTTTAGGAGTTCAGCCAAGTGCTTAGCTGTGAATCTCTGCATCTGCTTCCATCAGGTGCTGATGAAGGCTCTATGATGACAATTAAGATAGTCATCAATCTGATTAGCGGGGAAGGCCAGTTCAGGTACTGTTGACAGAGGTTTCTGTCCTGCCCTGTCCCATAGCCTTTCAGTCACAAAGAAACACACAGATATGTACATTGACATAAGCTGGTTTTCCTATTAGCTTAGGCTCCTTACTAAATCTTATAACTTATAATAGCCCAGAATTCTCGTCTGCATTAGCCACGTGGCTTGGAACCTGTTATCAGGAGGCATTCTCATCTTGCTTCCTCTGCACCTGGGTGATAGCTGCAGACTGAGACTTGCCTCTTCCCAGAATTCTCCTGTTCTCATTGCCCCACCTCTGCATCCTGCCTGACTGCCCCTCCTATGCTTCCTGCCTGGCTATTGGCCAGTCAGCATTTTATAAAAGCAATATAACTGATAAATCTTTACAGAGTAGAAGACCATTGTCTCACAGCAAGGCACCCTCTCCACTATTGCTTAGATTCTTAGCTGGGGTCATCTGTGTGGATTCCTGAAGAAAAATGTCAAGACAGTTGGGTTGTAATTCTTCTTTGAAGTACTTGTGCTGAGACTGATGTCATTTTTAGGATACTCGTCATTGATTTTGACAGCAGCTGAATCAGTTTCCACTTCCACCAACCAGGACCAAGTGTAGCCCTTTCCACGCATCATTTCTATTATTGATCTAGGCCATGATGACAGCAGTAAGACAAAATCCCTAAATAGTTTTAACTTTATTTCCCTAATGGCTAAAAATATCGAACACTTTTAAGTGTGTCTCAGACATTTGTGTTTCACTCTCTGAGAATATGCTTTTTACATCTATAATCCAGGTTTGGAATGGAGTCATTTGTTTTCTTGATGTTTATTTTGCTGAGAACACAGAGAAATGAGAATCCTTGGAATTCTTAACTTGCAAAACTGAGAGCTTGAGCTTTGGGAAGTTTCTGGCTCTTATAAGAACATTTCTGCAGAAATAATATACCCTACAATTTGATGAAGGAAGGTTATCCCTGGTCAACTTGAGAATACTACAAACTAAGATTGATATTTAAATCATCTCTAAAGTCTTGATTAAGAACTTACCATTCAGAATGCATATAGAAATTACACTGGTTGATGAAATCAATGATGGTAGTTGGACATGTTTATGGAACAAAGCCTCATTTATTATCTTCTATAGCTCAGGATGTGAGTTCAACTAATCACCTTTGAGTTACCTCTCAGATTAGGCAAACTAGCTATGGTATCATGATGTGAGTGGTGAGCTTTAGAACGTCCATGCCATTTGAAAGCTTGGCAACTTAGAAAACAACTTCTGAGAGTAAAAGTAGTGGCTATGTTCCTTTTACCTCTAAAATGAGACCACTCATAAGTAGTAAGTAATTGAAGACAAGGGGCCAGCATTAAACATGAATACATATTAGAAACACTAAATGGGCTCAGTTGGGCTATAAATTTCTCTATCAATATCCTCTCTTTAAATACACATGCATGCACACACACATATACATACATACATACACACACATTCACAGATACTTTTAAATAAATTAGAATATTCATGAAGAAGTTGGAGAAATGGGAAGAAGAGGTGGAGCACAAGTATAGTAGTAATTATTTTTAGATTGGGGTGAAGCGATATAAATGTACATTGAATATACAGAACTTTTATCAAACATTAGTCAAGTATTTGTTCTGAAGTCACTGTTTTACAAGACACACAAGAACGTTAAATAACAGATTTATTCAACAAGAAACTATTTCATTGTTTCTAGTTCATATCTGTTGCCTATGAATATTGAATGTACTTTGATTTTGTTACATCTTTAGATGAGAGAATGGATGTAACACTGTCTGATATCTTTTCTTTTTCCTTGTTTAAAGCCCTCAAAGAAAATTGCATTGCCTTTTCTATTTTGAGAGCTAACTACATTCTAAGGAATCATTGTATCACAATCAGGAAAATGTAATCAATATATGCATATTTATAGGGATTGTTGTATATGGAATATAGTTTTCATGAATTTATTCTTCAAGTGAGAATGACTCCTCATATGTACACTATTTTAGAATATCCCGATTCATTTGCTTACTTACTGAAGTCATTTTACTAGAGATAATCTCCTCATAAGATTTTTGAAAACATATTTTATCCTTTGTTTTAAATAATGTGTAACATGGAGGCAGATCCAAAGAGTTTGCTGCGTGAAAGCTTTTAAAGTGTTATGGTCATTCATCTGCAAATAAATTTTCAGCTGAAGGTAAATAAGAGCACAACATGCAATTTACTTCTGCAGAGTTCTTGCCCATGGCTCTCCATCAATTGGAGTTTCCAATTATTACAGTAAGTTCTAGTAATACAGATATCATTTCTTACAACAGAGTGGTGATTTTAATTAGCTTAGTGAATATTTATGTGGCTTTTAAATGAAATCCTTTTCACAAGGCCCTTATTGCTTCATGAAACATTTTATTTAATCATTCAAAAAATCACAGCTCATAGATCATAAGAAGAGACAGGAAAGGTAAGTCAGGATTTTGGATGGTGGTATTGTGAATTCACAGGCAAGGGGAAATTTATTCAGAAAGAAATGGGGATTTGTATGTAATGCTAATTCCATGGTAAAGAGGACATGATGCATAATTCTCATCCTGTTGTCATCTGTGCAGACATGGAAGCAAATATTAAAACATGGTGGATCAGACAGGAAAGTTTTCATCCTTAAGAATGTATGAATACAAAATTAAATATAGCAATATAGAGTATAGAGAAGGGATTGCACATGAACAGTTTCTTTCCTAGAAATCACTAATATCTTGTGCTTTGAATTCTATAGGAGCACTGTTGACAGGAAGTAATGACACTCTTTAATCTTACATGACAATTTATATTGAGAGGTTTAAATAAATTTATTGAAAAGGTCAACCTGCTTGCACCATATCTGTGACAAATCATACGTCATAATCATAAGTAAAGTAAGATTTCTCAAATGTCAAGACACACTTTTAATGATGGAATATTCTTCAATCCAGAAAATATTAGGAATTCTGAATAAATGTTCTTCAAACTGCTTTATACATAACAATATGCAATCCTTCATTTTGTCACAGTAAGATTCTCAGTTTTTTCAGACAAATAATAACCTGTCTTTATTTTGCATTCATTCTTCCCTTGGTCACATACTTATCTCCAATTTTTTAAAATAATAAGCACAAATCCATTCAAATATCAAGGTGATTAGGCACAACTTCTGTTTCCACTCACCTACAGAAGATCATTATTTAGGACAAGTATCTGTAAAAGAAGTGGAATGGAGTAAGGATTAACAGAACTGTTCTCATAAGAATACAACAACAGTTCCCCAGGGGATGTTGCTGGAAATAACAACTGAAAGATAACATATAGCTAGATATAACATGATTCAGAGATCTTACTGTGTAGATGAGTAGGTAGATAGATAGATACATAGAATAATGGATACATCAATACATAGACAGATAAGTAGAGAGACAGACTCAGTATGTAGATATACATACATGTATTTATGAATATCTATTGCTATACATATACATATGTATGTGTATATGTATGTATGTATTTATAAATGCAATGGACAAAACCGTTCATGTTCATGAAGGTTACCTGTAGCAAGAAGATCTCGAATGTTTTCTGGTGGAATGTTGTGTTCCTTAGCATATGCCTCAAGTTTTTCATGTTGTTCAGGTGTCAAAGGTTGACCTTTTCCTACATTGCATGAATGACAATGTCAGACATATGTTCAGTAGAATTCTGGAGAATTTACATTGCGTCCTTCGTATCCCACCACAATATACAGTTAAAAACACCAACTGCTATAAATTCAACTACCCTGAATGAGTCAATACAGGCAACAATAATTTTTGAAAGTTTCATGGACACATTTAACAAAATCTAAATGATGGTATGACATCACTTTTCAGGGTTTCATGATACATCAAAAAATTAAAAATAAAAACTTCTCTAGAGAATTCACTTATCTCAATCCTATCCACTTTCTAAAATATAACACTAGAGAGTCATGGATGCCTATCAATGGAACCTTCACATTTCTTCGAAATCTATACTCTAGAGTTCATATTTTAATTTAGTAGACACTTGATCAAATGACACTCAAAATGGTCTGAATTTTGGGAAAATACTCTATTTTACTCTATTCTTTCCAGTGAGGAAACACGAACACAAACTCTTCCATTCCCCTCCCCGCCATCGTCCCTACTCTTCAATGACCATGCTACTTGAGTTACAGTATAATGTAAAAGTTGGTTCACAAAACAAATGGACTGTTATTTAGTTGACAGGAGTTTGGAAATACCAGGATACTGTATTTGGTGGATGAATCTGACTTAATCCTCATTTACAGGGTCATACTTTTGTTACTATTTCAGAGAACCCACTACCATTCTTACCAGCAACCAAAACCAAGTTTGTTGTCCGGCCGGCTCTATCCACATTCTCACTGGCAAAGACTATGATGTCTTCTGTTGCAGCCACAGGTTTAAATACATTATCACCTTCAACTGCAATAACAGACACATTTCAAAAGTCAGTGTCATTCATTTTTCTACTTTGTTTGATGTCACCTATTGACTAAACATTAATATTGACCCTGACTCTGCAGTCATCTCTGATTCACTATCACATAACACACATGGGTAAAGGTATTCTTGCAGTCATTAATTTTACATATCCTATGATAATGTGGTAACCAATCATTCTCACTATTTAAACCTGATAGTGAATCCTGGGTACAGACACTTTCCCTTTCCTCTGAATTCCTGTGTCAAGACCTGTGGGATCACTCTGTTGGGTAATTCTTCCCCTTTCAACCAGATCTAAAAAGTCACTTGTCAATTTCCTGAAAGTGTAAAACTTTGGTGTCATATCATAATAATACCTTGTGGGCAAAGGGATACATATGCAAAAAAGATTGTACTCATTAGAAATATACACAAAAGTTTTCATCTAATAAGATGAAAACTCTCTCTCTTTCTGGTGTGTGTGTGTGTGTGTGTGTGTGTGTGTGTGTGTGTGTGTGTGTGTGTGTGTCTATGATATTTCCACTTCCAGACACTAATGGAATGATAGAATGTTTCACAGGAAAATAAATGAATCTAAGAATCTGGTCATTTTCTTTTACAGGACTGCTTTTTAATATCCATGTAAGGTTAAATAAAGCATTATTTTTGCCAGAAGAATGTGCCTTCTCTCTATTTAAAATCAACCCAAAAGTTATGCTGTGTACAATTCAGTTAAATAGTGTTGATATTATTTTAGCAGTTTTTTTCAAAATTGAGGTAGTAAGTTTGAAATTATTAAACAGATTTCCCCCTAACTGCTTTTCAAAAGTCAATTTTATCATTCAGTGATCTAAATGTTGTGATTTTTACAAAATGCAAAGAAGTAAAACTTTCTTAAAGCATTATTAATTGAAATTCTCTATGAATCCAGGATGATAGAAAAATCCCTGTAATATAAGTACTTGATAGACTGAATCATGAAGTTTGCAAAGATGTTTGAGGCTACTGAGACCTAATAGTGAGTGGCAGGCCTCTCCAATAACAAACCAAGAAACTGTAAGAAAGAAAAGACACTGAATAATGTCTAGAAGTAAATTTTCATGCAGGAAACTATTTGGAGATATTTTGTTAGCATTACTCACATTGGTAGTTAATAGTGTTCTTCTCCATGTAAACTTCAGATGACCTACAATGTACTCTGACTTTGCCACATATCTCCGTTGGTTGGAAGGAATGATAACCAAAATTGTTCTAGGTCCATGTATCTATGGGTGGCTGAAGTGTCAGCATGTATGCACTCACCCACAATGCTTTTGTTCATAGAGGAAGTGCCAAGATCCCATACTTACACTGGGCTCTGTAGTTGCCATCTTCTTGCCTATACCCAGTGATTTTGGTCTGTGAACATTGGTTATTCTCACTGAAAATCAAACAGAGGAATCATGGATTATTGTATTTATCTTTTGAATTCATATTAAATATCTTCAAGTTTTACAGAACTTGAGATACTTTAATGTCTATGAACAGTGTTCAGAGCTAGAAGAGATGAAACTCTGTTTACCTCAGTTTTCATAATTCTTGTTTAGAAAATATTATTCTGTTTGTAATCATACATCTGAATTACTTTATTTGTAGCAATGTTCCCAAGTGTTATGAAGACTGTATTGTATTCCTTGTCCAAATTTTACTGTTCACCGAGTATGATTTTCATATGTTAATATGTTCATATGTTAATTCTCTTTTTCTAGTCCAACAATAACACATACACAGGATTTTATGGATGTGTTTTAAATGTTTTTATGTCTAACCTAAAACAACAACTCTGGCTAGAACAAAATAGTGGTTGTAAACATTTTAAGTTCTTACAGTGTTAAGCACCTTTTCATTGAACATTGTCATCCAAATGTCAGAAAGAAAATTTTTGAAACTAGAGCATCAGAGACACGTTTCCAGCAGTTCAGACCCAAAATAATCACACAGAAACTATATTATTTAAATCACTGCTTGGCCAGTCACTTAAGCATATTGCTAACTAGCCTTAACATCTAGAATTAACCAAATTCCATTATTTTACATTTACCATGAGGCTTGTGGCCTACTGGCAAAGTTCTGGCTGGTAACTCACGTCTTTCCCCTCTGGCGGCTACAAGGCATCTCTGACTCCAACTTCTTTCTCCCAGCATTCAGTTTAGATTTCCCCTGCCTAGCTCTACTCTGCCCTATCACAGGCCAAGGTGGATTCTTTATTAATTAACTAATAAAAGCAACACATATAGAGAAGTACTTCCCATACCAGACATGGATTTGCAAATTAGATTTTTTCTGACCTGTTTTTATAAGAATATTTTCATGACACCTATGCCTGAAAAATATAACAAGCATAACTTTGACCCAAATGCTCACACCTACCTTTTGGCTTACTAGAAGTGAGATCCTTAGAATATCCTGATTTTAATATTAGAGCATAAAATTCAACCACAGGCCTCCAGCCAGAAGAATTTCTCAGGAAAAACTCATAGAATTGGAGACAGATTCTTAAGTTCATGTGGTTTCCAGAATCATGAAATAACATAATGAAATAACAGATCATGAAATAACATAATCGCATTTCTGAAGATGAGATTTTCAGTTTCATGACCAGAAACAGAACATTCCCACATAAGCTTAACAATATAGAAATCTGTGAAACATAAACAGTCTGCCCAGGTTGCACCATTGACAATTTGCTTACTTGACATAAAATGTGACTTCCATTTTACTACATGCCTCAGTACAAGTAATTTTACGAATGTAGAGCCTCAGTGGTCCTCCTCTCTCTATCTTGTCCACATTGTCAGCAGCGATGGCAGTGGTAACCCACTTTCCTTCAAGCTGAACAAACAACAAAGGCCATGGGAATGTGAGTTGGTACTCGCATCTCTGATTCCAATCTTTGGAATGTCATAAGCTAATGAGAAATATAAATCAATGATAATTTGCTTATTAGTTCAAAATTATGCTTCTGTGGAAGAAGAATAACTCGGGACAATATGATAACTCAATTTACATTGCATTTTGAACCTGAGACATTTTGGAACTACTCATATTTTGGTCTCCTATGCTCTGCAAATTCAACCCATTTTTAAAATTTTATTTGTTTAATTTTTGAAAAATCTGCCTGGAAAAATGAAACTGAGTGAAAGTCAGAAAGGTTATTTCATTAATAGGTACTTGCATGGGCAAACTGAATGACACATGCATCCACAGAACTAAACTATTGAAGAACATCAAACCTGTGCACAGACCAAATGAATTTACCTCAGCCTGAGCATGAGCCAGACCAAATGCCAAAGCCATCAGCAGAAACTTTATCATGGTGGTGCCTGCCTTTGCTTTCCCACAGGAGATCAAAGAAGGGTATTAGTTGTGAAGGAACTCAACTGAAAAAGCTTTTTATACAGTTGGTTAGAGGGAGTCTCATGGAATCAACCAATGGTTCTGCACCACAACAGCCTGCATCTGTCCAGTATGCTCACTTCACCCTGCTGAATGATATATGATCTCATATCTCTAAACTAATAAGATTAGGCTAAAGGTCAGGTTCTGTTGGGATGATTAATTGAGCCTTTTTCTCAGAAAGAAGGATCTATCCCTGTGAGAGAATTTAAGTAATTATTTTGCCTCCAGAACTATACTTGTGGGTAAAGGTCACAAAGCATGTTCATTTGTCATATATGATTCATTTAAAACTATGGCACATGCTTTAAAATACATTCTGAATCTAAGCATAACACTGTGCAGTTAAATGAATTTTAAAGTGTGGCCTGGGCTATATGAGCCAAAGCAACCACACTGTTAGAAGATACAATGGAAAAACTTGATGAGGATTTCCTATAAGGGTATTGATATATTCTATGCTACCTTTAAGTCTTTCAATATATTGACTACTTTATTCTTCCAGTACAATTTAAAGGCTATTACACAGATCTACAAGAGATATCACCAAAGCTTTACTGTATAAATAATAGAAAAAATGCTGCTAGATGGCCACTGGCAATAAATACAGATATCATTAATCAAAAGAAAACAAATCCAATGAAACAGTCTATAAAAATAATGGCGTTCAGTAAAACTGTAAAATGTGGCAAATGGACTCTGCATTAAACCTCAAAATATGATTATATTTCCTAAAGCAAGGACCCTTCCTGCCCAGCTGACTTCTTTACACATCAAAACGAAGGTCAAGGTCTGTATTGTGCTCATCCATAGTATCTTGTCATCCATTTCTAGGAACAACCAAGCATATCAGGACTCTGCAGTACTTGTTTATCCTCTGTTGCTTCCCTCTCTGATATGTGGAATAACCTACAGTTAGCACCTTGATATTTTCGTTTGAGAACCAATGATTGCTAACTACATCATTAAAAAGAATTAGTCAGCCCTTCATGACACTTTCTATAATTATCCTATTATTATCTCTATTTCTTTTAATTTTGAGATTATAGCATAATTACATGATTCCCCACTTTCCTTTCTTTCTTCCCTCCAATCCCTCCAATATGCACCCCCTTCATCTCTTTCAATTTTGTGGACTCTTATATCACTAAATGATTTTACATGCATATGAGTTCCAAGGTAGCAAGTGAATCCTAAAATGGGGATACTAAGAGAGACATACATGGATATAATCTCTATGGGAAGAAGTAAAAGATAAGATCTCCCGAGTAAATTGGGAGCATGGGGACCATGGGAGAGAGGGCTGAAAAGGAGGGCAGAGGCATGGAGGGGAGAAAAGAAAATGTATAATTCAATAAAATCAACAAAAAAGAATCTTCTAGATTTCCATTGACAACTGTCTCCTTTACACTTACCGTTATGCAGTGTATTTTTAAATTCCCAAATTAATATATACATTTCATCCCAATGTATTATAAAAAAAGATACAAATTATTTTTGAGAAACATACTGAAGTTTAGAGCACAAAGTTGAATGAACCATGAGAGTTTGAAAAGAAAATATCCTTTGTTTTCAGTTGAGTGACAAATCACCTCAGAGGCCCAACATCAACAGTTCCCTGTGGCTTTGGCATCACATTCAATCCTAGGCAATTTGCCTCATCTGTTCAGGTGGAGGTCAAATCAGGATAGCTTTTAAATATTTCCTTCTTCCTTCTTCATTTCCTCTCTAACAGTAATGTGTCAAGAAACTGCCTGTGTCTTTGCTTGAGTATAAACATATGCACAAACTTAGTTAAGGATTTTATATTCTGAAAAGCTTTATGGAACACTAAGCAAATTCTTTCACTCCAGTTCCCTTTCTTCTATCTGTACTCACATAACAGTCATATTCATCAAATTTTCACAATTGTGAGTATGATAGCAACTAATTTTTAAAAAAGTGCAAAATAATGTCAGAGAAAGGAGGAACTATGAAATGCTTCTGAAGGAAGAACTGTAAGGAGCAATTGGTGTGGTTATAATATGGTATGTTAAAATTAAAGGAATCAAAAGACTTTACAATTTAAATTTATATCTGTTATAAATATAATCCTCTATCTGTTTTTTGGAACAGTCTGAAATCCATTTTTTTATTTCTTTCACATTATGCTGATTCTTATTCTATATCATTATTATGAGTGATGACATTAAGGGTCTATTTTGATCTTGTATTCAGCATTCTACCAAGAGTAGTAACTATGAATTCCATGGCCACAGAATAAAAACACCCAGGATATTTACACATAAGTTCCTTATCTAAAGATACATTGCATTCTCAGAGCCTTCTCTCACTCTGATGAGAGACCTTATACTAAGGTTTTGCTATAAGGAGAAAACTCAGGCAATATCTTCCATGGCAAATACAACTTTACACAGATGAAGCTATTTGTCCTTTATTTTGCATGGTTGATTCTTAGGTTCACACACCCCACAGAGAAAAACAATACACTTTCCCATAATTACCTCTGCTTCAGAAGGAGGGAGAACATGAACAAGGAAGTCAAGACCACAAGGGTTGCGTCCACCCACTGAGATGGTGGGACTGATCTAATGAGAGTTCACCAAGTTCAGCTGGACTGGGACTGATGGAGCATGTGATCAAACCAGACTCTCTGAATGTGGCTGTCAATGAGGGATGACTGAGAAGCCAAGGACAATGGCACTGGGTTTTGATTCTACTTCATGGACTGGCTTTTTGGAAGCCTGGTTTGTTTGGATGTTCACCTTCCTAGACTGGGATGGAGCGGGGAGGACCTTGGTCTACCACGGGGCAGGGAACCCTGACTGCTCTTAGGCCTGGAGAGGGAGGGGGAGGGAGAGTGGGGGCAGTAGGAGGGAAATGGGAGGTAAGGAGGAGGTGGAGATTTTTAATAAATAAATAAATAAATAAATAAATAAATTTCATCTGCTTCTTGTCTCTGTATTTTTTTCTTTTTACAAAATAAATGCGGCACAGCCTGATGAGTATGATTTTCTTCTTTAAGTATCTATGGTTTCAGGGCTTACTACTCTGCATTGAACAACCAATCACAGTGCCACTTGAACAAACAATTGCAGTGCCATGCTTCCCCAGGTGGGAGGCTATTTCACCTTCCCACACTCGTTAGATATTTGTGGTCATTGTCCACTGTTGGAACTCTGCTGCAGGAGCTCTTTCCGCTCCTTCAGCCAATCGCTGTTGAGTTACCAGCCGATTGGGGCGTGGTCTCTCTCTCTTTAAAAAAGCAGTGGCTGTCCTCCACTCCCTTTTTGGCTTCCTGCTCCGCTTCCGGCTCCTAGACTCCTTTCCTGTTCGCGCAGAGGGGCTTTTGTCTGGGATGGTAATCTGTAAGTTTTTTCCCCTTTGAATAAATAACCATTCTATTAATCATAATTCCAAACTGGTGTGGGATTGTCTGTGACTTACGCCTTCATCTGGCGCCCCACGTTTGGTTGTAGAATCCCCCTCCCCCCCACTCAACTGCTTGCTGCCAGCTCGGCTAGTCACGTGCCCTCCCTGAGCTGTGTCCTGTGCCCTGTGTGTGGAGCCAGCAGTTCAATTAAACCCCACGCCTCCCAAGCTCCACCTGCTCGGGACAGTCTCTGTCTGCCTGGTTTGCTCTTTTCTGAGTTGTTTTTAAATTTCCCTTGTAAGTGCGGTGCTTTAGTGGCATGAATCAGAACGACTCAGTCACGTGGAGGCGTATGCAGCTTCCGGGTTGCTCTTTTCTACCCCTGGATTCTGGGTTTCTGGTTCCATGTATGGAATTGATTTAATTAAATTTTCTTTCTTGAGAAACTTATATTTCCTAGTTTTTAACAAATATTAAGGCAGACACTGAAACAGGACCCTGTTTCCATCACCTTTGCAGTGGTTCTAGTCGCAACTTGGCAACAGCGCCATCTACTAGACAAGAGGTAATATGGCAGTTTTTGTTTCCAACACCAATTTTACTGTTTTCTTTATTAATGCAATGGATTATGTCATGCAAGGTTTATATGACTATGGGGATACATTAATTTACTTGTTGCTAGGTTTCAGTTTTCTTTTCAATATTTTAACATTAAGGAAGATACGATATTTACAGACTAATAATGAACAACTAGTTGAAAGGATTAAAATTATTGAAAATCAGGGGTTATCTGAACAAGTGGATACTATGATAGACAAAATTGACTCCATATCCAAGGGTACTAGGAACTTACCTGAAAGGGTTCAGGCTGTTGAATTTGACGTTCAGACGTTACCACAAAGTTTTGATAAGGTAACAGATAGAATGTACCTCCAGAATGGGAACCAGAAAACTGATACCTTAGTGAAATTCCTAGAAACACGGGTAGGTCAGGAGATTCAGGATTTAAGGGAGACAATGATAAAAAGATTAGAAATGATTGAAGAAATTATTGGAGCTGGTGAACAGAGTAAGAAGGCACAAGGACAGGATACAGTGTCACCACCAGCTGTTACAACTGGCTTACCCAGGGTTCTAACAACATACCCTGTAGTTTATTCTGGCAAAGGGTCAACTTTTAAAGGCTCAAAGGAGTTAAAGAAGCTAGATGGACACCAATAGCAATGAATGATTTAAAAGAAATTAAGCAAGCTGTCATTAATTATGGCTTGCACTCTGCATTTGTTAATGAAATGATAAGGACCTGGGCTTCTAATGTCAGAGCTACCCCCCATGATTTCTCTCAGCTAGTGTCTGCAGTTTTAGATGATGAACCTTCCTTGATGTTTGGAATTTATTTCAGAGAAGAATCCAAACATACGGAACAGCAAGGAAGAGCAAAAGGTGTGGAGGTTTTTCAAGATCAAATTCTTGGTGTAGGAGCCTATGCTGATCCACAGGTCCAAGCTCTTTATGACGAAGAAGTGCTGTCCTTATGTCACAAAGCAGCCTTGAAT